CCTGCAAACACGTCTCAAACAGCACTAGCAAAGACTTCCAAATTTGAAACAGCGGATCCAAAGGCATTAGAAACTACAAACATATTGGGAGAAACTCATATGAGACAAAAACAACAGAGAGAACAGCAGCAACTTATTTTGAAACATCGGCAACAGGCATCTTGAAAACATTGTCCACAGTTATCAAATAAAGAGTAACTGCAACCACAGAAGCATCTGAAACTTCAGAAGCAAAAACATCTGAAATGTCTACAAGTGCATTTGAACCTGTCCTAGTTAACACCCCTGAAACATTCTCAACTTCACAAGAAATGATAACTACACCTACAGCCTCCTATTTTATTAAAACACCTAAAAATACATCTGCAATCAAATCAGAAACAGTATCTCTCTCTCTTTCAAACTAATCGGAAACAGCAACAACAACTACATTAGAAACACCAGCTATAGCAACAACTGAGACATTAGGTGAAAAAACATTTGAAGTCACTACTTCACTTGAGAAGCTGTCAACCACCTCCCCTGAAATACCATCCGAAACAACATTAGTGACGTCAACTATAATGCCAATGACGACATCTGCTTCTTCAGTGCCAGGCAGCATTTTTGAGACATTGCCTACAATGACATCAGAAAGGATAACTTTAGCCACAGTTACATTCATTCCCCTAGACCTTTTCCACATTTACAGCCTTATTCTAAAATGGATTTTAAAAAATGTATCTTCAACAATCTACACTCAATACCCCATAATGACAAATTGAAAACAGGTTTTTAGAAATGTTAGCAAATTTATTACAAATGAAAAACAGAAATACCTTATTTACATAAGTATTCAGACCCTTTGCTATGAGACTCGAAATTGAGCTCAGGTGCATCCTGTTTCCATTGATCATCCTTGAGCTGTTTCTACAACTTGATTGGAGTCCCCCTGTGGTAAATGCAATTGATTGGACATGATTTGGAAAGGCACACACCTGTCTATATAAGGTCCCACAGTTGACAGCGCATGTCAGAGCAAAAACCAAGCCATGAGGTCGAAGGAATTGTCTGTAGAGCTCCGAGACAGGATTGTGTCGATGCACAGATCTGGGAAAGGGTACCAAAACATTTCTGCAGCATTGAAGGTCCCCAAGAACACAGTGGCCTCCATCAGTCTTAAATGGAAGAAGTTTGGAACCACCAAGACTCTTCCTAGAGCTGGCCACCCGGCCAAACTGAGCAATAAGGTGAGAAGAGCCTTGGTCAGGGAATTGACCATGAACCCGATTGTCACTCTGACAGAGCTCCAGAGTTCCTCTGTGGAGATGGGAGAACCTTCCAGAAGGACAACCATCTCTGCAGCACTCCACCAATCAGGCCTTTATGGTAGAATAGCCAGACGGAAGCCACTCCTCAGTAAAAGACACATGACAGCCCGCTTGGAGTTTGCCAAAAGGCACCTAAAGGACTCTCAGACCATAAGAAACAAGATTCTCTGGTCTGATGAAACCAAGATTGAACTCTTTGGCCTGAATGCCAAGCGTCATATCTGGAGGAAACCTGGCACCATCCCTACGATGAAGCATGGTGGTGGCAGCATCATGCTGTGGGGATGTTTTTCAGCAGCATGGACTGGGAGACTAGACAGGATCGAGGAAAAGATTAATGGAGCAAAGTACAGAGAGATCCTTGATAAAAAACCTCCTTCAGAGCGCTCAGGACCTCAGACTGGGGGCGAAGGTTTACCTTCCAACAGGATAACGACCCTAAGCACACAGCAAAGACAACGCAGGAGTAGCTTCGGGACAAGTCTCTGAATGTCCTTGAGTTGCCCAGCCAGAGCTTGAACCTGATCGAACATCTCTGGAGAGACCTGAAAATAGCTGTGCAGCGACGCTCCCCATTCAACCTGACAGAGATTGAGAGGATCTGCAGAAAAGAATGGGAGAAACTCCCCAAATACAGCTGTGCCAAGCTTGTAGCGTCATGCCCAAGAAGACACTCGAGGCTGTAATCGCTGCCAAAGGTGCTTCAACAAAGTACTGAGTAAAGGTCTGAATACTTATGTAAATGTGATATTTCCTGTTATTTTCTTTGCTTTGTCATTATGGGGTATTGTGTGTAGATTGATGAGGGGGAAAAAACAATTTAATCAATTTTAGAATAAGGCTATAACGTAACAAAATGTGGAAAAAGTCAAGGGGTCTGAATACTTTCCGAAATGAATGTACAGATGAAAATTATCCTAAAACTTCAGCTGCAACTTCATATGGAACAACTGATATAAACACACTTGAAATATTATCCACAACCACATAAACAACATCTCCATCAACCGACGGAAACATCATCCACAACTACAACATCCCCATCAACCAAACCTGAAATATCACCAACAATTACAACTGAAACATCCTCTACAACTACAGCATCCTTATCAACCGAAGCTTAAACATAATCCACAACTACAGATACAGCATCCCCATAAACCAAACCTGAAACATCATCCACAGCCACATACACAACATCCCCATCAACTGAAACGGAAAACATCATCCACAAATACAACATTCCATCAACTGAAACTGAAACATCATACACAACCACATACATAACATCCACATCAACCAAACCTGAAACATCATCCACAGCTACAACATCCCCATCAACTGAAACCTGAAACATCAGCGAACGTCATATATGAAACATTTACCACAACCACTATCTCAGCATGAAAGCTGTCAACAGCCCCCCTTCAAATATTTAAAACCACAACTGCAACTATAACTACTGTGACTATTTAACTATTACTGTGCCTGCAACACTGTCTACTGTTACATCAAAAAGTAGAACTACAGCCCCACCTGAATCTCCATTAGAAACATCCAAAGTTGTGTCTGAAACGTCAACCGGAGTTACAACAGAGGCATTAATATCAACCATTCCAGTAACTACTTAGATAATCCCCACTGGAATATCAGCTACAACAGAAAGTGGAACAGCAACAACCTCACTTGGAAATGTATTGACAACTACAATCATATCCTCAATATCTGCTTCTACATCTGAGGGAAAAACAGCAAACCCATCTTCCATTACTCCGGAACTTCCACTTCCAACCACATCAGCATTTACAGCCTCAATCAACATCAAGTGCCCTCCCAGAAACCACAAATCAGAATTTGACATCTACTTTAACATCCATCTTTTCTGCCACAACTGCAAACAAAAGACAACCAAAAAACAGACTACAAAAGCCACTGCCGGTTCAGTCATAACTACATCCGGCAGTGTGACGGACAAAGTTGACTCCACCAAACCTAAAACTGTGTCTACAACGACTGCACCTCTGCCAACCTCACATCCACCCACATCAACTAATGACATCTTCGTCACCATTACTTTGATTCCCCTATAATTAATGTTGGTTGTTATAACTTTGATATTTTTATCTTTAATAAATATCCTTGGGGAGGAAGCTATAATTTATAATATCTTGGTCACAGAATGTATTTTTGACTGAAAGGACCTCATGTACTAGACAATTGCAACCGCAATAGATGGAACATAAGAGATAGATTTTCCCTTTCCCGTGTTTATTCTTGCTATGTATAACATTTTACATTTTAGTAATTTAGCAGACGCTCTTATCCAGAGCGACTTATAGTAGTGAGTGCATACATTTTGATACCCACAACCCAGGAATTGCAAGCGCCGTGCTCTACCAACTGAGCCACACAGTACATAACTATGGACTAATGCTAGAAAGGGGTGATATCCCAATATAATTTCATTGCATCTAGTGTCCATGGGCAGTTTCTGGGCACTGTGTCACAACGAATAACCAAGAGACCCTTGCTTTTATTATTGTATCATGTAATGATTGTAATTAGAGTGAACTACTGTACATTGTTTAATATAATAAGTATAAATACATATACCTTAGCAGACGTGTTTGATCGCATTCAGTCATCGTCTATTCTATTTGAAGTTTGGGTACGGGGCTCCAGTACCACTAAACTGGTTACAACCCTAGCCTACACTGAGTAAGTGACCATTGGGTAATGTAATAAATTATACAAATACATGAAGTGAGAAGAGGCTGAACTTCTGCTCATATTTCTGAGTTCTATATTTTGAAAGTTTGTTAAATTGACTCCAGTATAAAAGTTTTACCCTCAACAGTACTTGAAGTTACATTGAGATACAGATCAAATACTTCTCCAATGACAGGACAGAGGCCTGAACATAGACTGAAACTCCTGATTCTCCAGTGCTTTAAAAGTACAAATGTCTTACTTAGTAGTTACAACAGTACTTAATAGAAACTGTAAGTCTTTTCTCCAAGATCAGACAAGCACAAAAAAACTACTATCTTGGTAAAAGTCTGAAAGTACCCAATTGTCTCTAATGTATTTAAGTAATCAAAACTTAAAGAAAAGATCAAATATTTCAAATTGCTTACATTACAACATATTGGAACCATTTGAATTTTGCATTTCTATATATGTTATTTAGATCAAAGTGAAACTACAAATCCGACATCATTTACAAACGAAGCATGTGTGTTTAGTGAGTCCGCCAGATTAGAGGCAGTAGGGATGACCAGGAATATTCTCTTGATAAGTGCATGAATTTGACCATTTTCATGTCCTGCTAAGTATTCAAAATGTAACGAGTACTTTTGGGTGTCAGGGAAAATGTATAGAGTACAAAGTACATTATTTTCTTTAGGAATGTTGTGAAGTAAAAGTAAAAGTTGTCAAAAATGTAAATAGTAATATACAGATATCCCAAAAAACGTAAGTAGTATTTTTAAGTATTTTTACTTAAGTACTTTACACCACTGCTTTCTTCATCAGTTGAATACATCTCTGTCAGATATTTGCTCTTTGATGGTATACTCTGTATCAGAGTTTCACAGCCAGAGGTCTTAATAGAGGGAGAATTTCACACCAATCAATGACAATGAATATTAAATAGATTATATTTATATTTTGATTATAATTTATTTGCTTGCCAGAGGCTCTTATCTTAATCATCTCACTAAATGTACATTTAATATGTTATTTATTTATGAAGCAACCTGTTCTATACTGCATTAGCCTCTGTTGATTTTCTTCTCATGGACAGAACAGGATATGGACGGGAAAGACCTCTAATCCCAAAGAATGAACAAACACGCTTTATAAAGAATACACTCACAAACACACATTTGGGTGGTTGACTTCTCCCGTTTATTTGTTTTTTCGCTCAAAAGCCTCTTTGGTTCCTAACAATGCATAGACAAACAAACTGTCATTTTGTTAAGAGAAGTCACTAAACATGCCACTGCATTTACTTTGGGGTCGATTTACCACCGTACTCCTGAGGATTCCCTCTGAATCCACGAGTTAGGTCTGAATACGACCTCTTACCGCTTTACCTTTAGTCAGCTTCTATTGTATTCAATATGCACTTGTTGAAAATCTAAAAGGCGCTTAATGGCTTTACAATGAAGTATAATCTCTTTCCAAAACATCCCATAAAACAGATAATTACAGGAGCATGATATGCACTGAGCTAACAGGCAACAAAGTAATCTCCACTTTACATACTGTACAAAACTAGACAATGGAGGAGGACAGAGACAGAGGCCGATAAAAAATGGACGATAATGGTCTGCTACTCATACAGGCATTCAGACACACAGGAAGGGAGTGGGAGGAAGGGAGGAACCTCCTCATCAAACTGCAGGAGGGCTTAAGATTCATGGATGTATAAGATCAATGCAACAAGGACACAACTCAACAAAACACAAGTTTAACAGTCAATGAACACAAACATATAAAAATCATAATAATAATTACAAAAATACATAAAAAATTAATGAATATGTTACCTTTGTCTGTATTTTTCCCCCAAATCATTAACTGAACTAGGTATAAGGGGACAACTGTTGTTCAGAGCCAAACTGGAGGCCTATGCTGCATCTCATTTCAGTGAAGGAGGAGCCGACAACAACAACACATTTTGTACATTTCAAACATTTCAAACAAGCCCTTTGAAGACACCACAAAATTTTCGAGGGACACTTCAAGGACAGACAGGCACACACTGAATACTGAATTTATAAGACAGAGGGGTTACGTGTGTATTTGTGTATGTTTGACAGAGATAAAGCTGTTATAGAGCCCTGGTACGGACATTTTGGGCCTTGGTGCCTGGTACACACATGTTAGGCCTTCGTGCAGGGACAAAGCCATTTTTGCAGTAGCACTTGAATGAACCTATGGTGTTGACACAGCGGGCATTCTTGCATGGATTAACTCGGACCCCTGGTTCAGCACACTCATCAATATCTGAAAAGAGAGAGGAGAGAGAGAGAGAGAGAGAGAGAGAGAGAGAGAGAGAGAGAGAGAGAGAGAGAGAGAGAGAGAGCGAGAGAGGGAGATGGTTTGAAACAAAACAGAGAGCTTGCCATCTCTGGCTGCACATCTCTTTACATATAAAATCAACATTCCAAAATTCTAAATTAGATTTCAGGCATTGTCGGTCAAAACACTTGAACAAAGGACAACAGCTACAAATTATACAGAGACACTTCTGTTTGCAGAATTGATAAGCATCCAATTGATATCCACCTAAAGATTGAGATGACTGAAATTCAAGCAGTCACCTTCACTCTAATCTAACCCAAAGTTTAAGGGAAGCAGACAGGCAGAACAGGTGAATTGTCAACATACCGGTGCAGCGGGTGCGGGAGTGGTCCAGCCTAAAGCCTGTGTTACAATCACACATAGTGCTCAAGTAGGAACGCACACAACGCCCATTGGCACAACTACACTCATCTGAGTCCTCTTCTGAACTGTCCCCTTCTGAGCCAAAACACACACACACAGACAGACAGACAGACAGAGAGAGAGAGGCAGAGAGACAGAGAGACAGTAGAGAGGGAGAGAAAATATTATTCAAGTGGTGTGACGGTAGAGTTTGTGCTCTGAGGTGAATTTATAACCAAATTCAGAGTATAATAAAATATATTACAGGCCTTACCAATACCTGGGTTGTAGTTGGCGAAAGCTGCCAGGAAATCTCCCTCACCATCAGACTCTGTCTCCAAGTGCATGTCACACAGCCGGTTAAAGATCACTGAACGAGAGGAAGAATTAAGATAAACTTAATTAAGTTATTAGTATTAGACTATTTCTGCTGATACGGGCTAATACTGGAATGACCAGCAGACCAGAAACTAAAAACCAGTGAAAGAATGACTGAGTGCTGGTGCCCACCTGAGTTTCTTTGGGGGCAGGTCCTACACTCAGGGCCCCAGCCACGGCCATAGTGACAGCAGCACTCAGAGTAGGTGAACACCAGGCCATTTCTGGGTTGGCTGCAGATCAGATCCTCATCCACCTGCAGGAAACACACGTCCTTATGGGCCGCCGTGCGGTCTGAGGTAGGAAGAGAGGGGGGAAAGGGAGCGAGAGAAAGATAGTGATAGAGCGAGAGAGCGAGAGAGCGAGAGAGAGAGAGGAATATTAAGGATTATTCCATCAAATCAAAAAGCCAATCTTTGCTCCTGCATTATGCAAGCAGGCCAGATCCTGCCACTTATAATGACCTCTATGATTAACCAAGTAATTGCTCAGCATGTTAACAGTCAGCAGGTAGATATGAATAAGCAATGAGGTCTAGCTTGAGGTGGTAGGGCTCAGAGCTATGCCAGACCGCTCCTCTGCACATTCATTTACAGTCACACATCACACACAAGGATGGCGCCATAAAAACCACACAGACACAATAAAGTAAAAGCTGGATTGTCAATGCAAACTTGTGAGACTTTACAACAAGTATATGCAAAGAAAGTAACACAATCGCAAGAGTAATGTCACAACATCGTATACAAGTTTTACAGCATCAAATGTATCGCAACAGTCAACAGTTTGGTTAAAAGGAGAAACGATGCTTTGGAGAAAGGTGCAGAAAATGCCACAAGCAATATCACTTGGCTCCATTTTACTTACACTCTCTCACTGCGTCTCACATGCACACAATGAAGGATGAAGTAATGAAGTGTTTTCCGGTGACTATGCAAGCTTAGTGGGGCAACCACATAAACGGAAACTGAGAAATGTGCAACAGGATCACACTGGACCTATAGAACTGAGATCACATTGACCATCTCAGGTCTCAGGATCTCCCTCACTAAACTGAGTGTGTTTCTATGGAAACAAGCAAGAGGGGGAGTGCTGAGCCTGTGCATGGAGTCAGTATTGGGGAACGGGGGCTCAAAGGTGGAGGAGTTAAAAAGAGTAGCAGGAGTGGCAGGTGTACAGGTAAGCCAAAACTCAGGTGAGCTGAGCACTGATTGGTCAGGCTCAGGTGAGCTGAGCGCCGATTGGTTATACCCACCGTCATAGACGCACTGTTTGAGCGCTGCGCTGAAGGTGAGTGGCTGGGTACATATACAGTGAAAGGAGCCGGGCGTGTTCACACACCTCCCATTCTTACAGTACGAGGGGTCCTGGCACTCATTGATATCTGCAAGGGGCACCACAGACACCACAGACATGGGTTACACAACCTACGGACGGAGGGACAGACACCAGCCTGGGGACAGCTCTTAACGTAATGTGACGTTGAACAGGCCTGCAGGCAGATCACTACGTTACACTGCTTCCTGAGCACACGCACCAGAGTGTTTGGGTGTCTATTGATCGGTTGAGGATCCTCACAATGAACACGGCCCATTAGTGGCTATAGCATAGGACCAGGGTTGTGTTTGAGTTTATCTCTGATCTATCTACAGTATGATCAGGGGCTCCCAAACATTTTGGATCCGGGGACCCATTTTGTGATAGCAAATTCATCCCACAAAAGCAGAACACAACTCTGACTTTGGAGTGCGATAGAAATAGCATACAAGGAGTGTTACTATGACAGCTGCAGTGAATGGCCGGACTAACCAAGTCTCAGGCCCTGGGAAATAACATTTTAAAGGCCCCACTCTTTGCATCAGAGAGAACATTTTAAAGCTAATTTCCTGCAACTCTACACATTTTGCCATAGGCAGAGAGAAAATGTTTCAGTTTTAAAGCTAATTTCCTGCAACTCTACACATTTTCACATGGGGCAGACAGACAATTTTGCAGTTTTAAAGCTTAAATGACAGTGCATTTATGTTCAAAACAACATTTTTAGGGAATACAAGAAGTATTGAGTTGCAAACTGGATGATTGATGGAGTACTGTGGATCCCTGTGAGCCTCCCAGGCCCTGTTGTGCGTCTAAGGGTATATTATAGATGAATAATATTACATTGTATTGCATTGCACCATCTAAACTTCTTCCACAGACCCCTTGGACAAATTTGTTTAATCTTTTGTTGCTAGCAATATTTATACAAAAAAAAGGAAATGTTAAAAAAATATATATATATTTTTTTAGATCTGGCCGTGGATGCCCTGCAGTACCTCAGCGGACCCCCAGGCGTCCAGTTTGTGAACCTCTGATCTATGTGACAGATATGAAGTTATGTGAATGTAAGAACGGGTGAGGCTGGAAAGGCAGGTCTGGCTGATTAGTAGGGTTAGACTGGAACTAACATTAAAAAACATTATTTCATTCAACCTCCCTCGCCCATACACAGAGCCACCACTGAGAACCAACCAACTGTGAACTACACTACCCAGCCCCTCTCACACCACCACCACCACCACCACCACCTCCAAGTCATCCATCCTGAGATTCCAGAGCCCACCTCATCCCCTCTTAGTCTCCTCTCCTCCACTCACCAGCCTGCTCCTCTGGGGTCACACAACTGTTGCGGTCGGTGGCCAGGATCCAGGGGGTAGAGCAGATGCAGTAGTAAGACCCAGGGGTGTCCACACAGTGGCCACTCTTACAGTTCAATGGGTCCTGGCACTCATCCACACCTGCAGCAACAAAAACACACCGCAGACTTAACACACGTCCTGCTCTCTGGCCTGTACTGTACTGTACCTCCCTGTGTGTGGATAGAACATGGACAGTAGAGGGCTCACCTGCCACAGTGGGGATCACACACTTCTTCTTGGAAGCATCAGGGGTCCAGGGAGAGTTACAGGTGCAGTAGAAGGAGCCTCTGGTGTTCTTACACTGACCGTTGGTACACAGAGACTCATCGTGGCACTCATTCACATCTGAGGAGGAGATACATTAAATGGGATCATCTGATGTGTATTAATTAAGCAATAAGGCCCGAGGGGGTGTGGTATATGGCCAATATACCACAGCTAAGGGCTGTTCTTATGCACGACGCAACGCGGCATGCCTAGATACAGCCCTTAGCCGTGGTATATTGGCTATATACCACAAACCCCCGAGGTACCTTATTGCTATTTAAACTGGATACCAACATAATTAGAGCAGTAAAAATAAATGTTTTGTTATACCCCTGGTATACGGTCTGATATACCACAGCTGTCAGCCAATCAGCATTCAGGGCTCGAACAACCCAGTTTATAATGTGTAATAATACAGAGGTGTGTTTTGGTGCAGGCCTGAGTGAGGTGGGGCTCGGTGGTTACCGATGCACTCCAATAGGTTGCTGTCGTAGTAGAAGCCCTGTTGGCAGTAACATTCATAGCCAGGTTGTGTGTTCATACAGCGGCCCTCCTTACAGATCTCATTGGAGAAGAGCACACACTCATCGATATCTGTACACAGAGAGACAGGAGCAATGATCTCAACACAAACAAACTTCACCTGAAAACAAATCCTGCCATGTAAATGAATGCTGTAAATCAGATAACAGCAAACCTACCGTAGTTGGGCTGAGGTTGTGTAGCTACTCACCTCTGTGGACAGACAGGCCGTACTCAGTTACTCCCTCCTCATGGTAGAAACCTCGGCCCACTGGACACAGGGAATGGAACTCAGCTAGTTGGAGGAAAAACAACCAGCTTACTTTAGTAATCAATGAGTGACATTGAACAGTGCAAGTAACTGAACAGATCCCCAGCCCACTTGATGGCTCAGAGGCTTGGTAAACTAGTGTGTGTGTGTGTGTGTGTGTGTGTGTGTGTGTGTGTTGTTGGGCCTGAGGTACGTACATGTGTGGTAGACGGGGCAGGGGTAGATCTCACAGTGGTCCCCCCAGCCCACGCCGATGGAGCAGCAGCATTCCTGCTTGGTGACGTTGGTGGCCAGGACACTGTCACAGAACACTGTGTCATCCAGGTTCAGGTAACACTCCTTCTTATCCTCCACATCCACCTCAATCTCTGGATGGAGGGGGAAGAGAGGAAATAGATTGTTGTGTGTGTGTTTGTGTGTGTGTGTGTGTGTTTGTGTGTGTGTGTGTGTGTTTGTGTGTTTGTGTGTGTGCATGCAGAATATAGCTACATAAAGAGAGGGCTGAGATGATATCAGTAATCTTACCCTCACAGCTTTGCTTGTCCTCAGACAGGATGAAGCCATCTTTGCACACACACACGTAGGAGCCCTGTCTGTTCTCACACACACCATGAGGCTGGCACAGACTCCAGTCTGTCACACACTCATCTATGTCTGGGTGGGTGGGAGGGAGAGGGAGAGGGAGAGAGGGGGAGAGGGGGAGAGGGAGAGAGGGGGAGAGGGAGGGGGGAGAGGGAGAGAGGGAGAGGGTGAGGGAGAGGGAAGGAGAACGTGTTACTATCATCATGACTTCCATTAAAGGCCCAGTGCAGTCTAAAACACTATTTTCCTGTGTTTTATATATATTTCCACAATAGGAGGTTCGAATAATACTGTGAAATTGTAAAAATGATGATAATGCCCTTTTAGTGTAAGAGCTGTTTGAAAAGACTGCATGAAATATCAGCCTGTTTTGGTGAGAGGGAGTTTTGGCCTTCCATGGTGACATCACCATTCACTAAATTAATAGACCAATAAGAAAGAGAGTTCCAAACCTCTCTGCTAATAACAGCTAATTGTCAGTTTTCCCCTCCCCACTCAAACCACTCTCAAAGTTCTTGCTTGAGAAAATGCTCTCAATAAGTTAGTTTATTTTTTTACATTTTAATTTAAAACAATCACAGTAAGGTACTTAATTGTTACCCAGAAATTATTTGATATTGAGATAAAAATGGCTGCATTGGACCATTAAGCTTGACTTATGACATTTTCGACTAATTACAGAGCTCCACTGCCAGAATGGTTGACAGTATAACTTTTATTTCCCTGAAATGCCAAACTCATAGAGAGGGTGGAGACTGACTGACCTTGGCACCGCCTCCCCCCGACAAGCATGTAGCCCTTCTGACATTCACAGCGGTAGGAGCCCATGCTGTTGATACAGCGCCCCCTCTGGCAGTTAGAGGGACGCTCACATTCATTTATATCTGAGGGAGGAAAAGACCACAATCAAACGGCAACTGTGTGTTTGATCACCAGCTCTATACAGTGGACATGTTACTCATACTTCACTAGTAGTGTAAAAACATTGTTAACATGTCCATGAAGCTATAGTGATGTGATTAATAAGAAGTAGCTCATGCCTTCACAATGGCTGCCCTCCTGAGTGCGCTGGTATCCTGGGTAGCAATGACACTGGAAGGAGCCCTCTGTGTTGACACAGCGTCCGTTGGCACACAGTCTGTCATCCTCACACTCGTCAATGTCTGGAAGGGAGAGAAGGAGACACATGCAGCCTGTCAATAGAACCTGTATACCCATTAGTTTTCTTTGTTCAATATTATTAAGAAATACTGGTAACCACTACACCACTGCAAGTCTGCAAGCATATAAATGGTATATGTGCAGCACCAAGAGATATTCTATTAAACATTAATGAGTGCACTGACCTCTGCAGCCTTTGCTGTCTGCAGCTGGGAGGAAGCCTTCGTTACAGAGGCAGCGGTATGTTCCTGGGAGGTTCTCACAGCGCCCGTTGGGACACACCCCACGCTTCTGGCATTCATTGACATCTAGTGGAAAGGTAGAGGGGTTGTAGACAATGATTTACACTGAGTATACAAAATATGCTCTTTCCATGACATAGACTGACCAGGTGAATCCAGTTGAAAGCTATGATCCCTCATTGATGTGACTTGTTAAATCCACTTAAATCAATGTAGATGAAGGGGAGGAGACAGGTTAAAAAAGGATTTCTAAGCCTTGAGACAATTGAAACATGGATTGTGTATGTGTACCATTCGGAGGGTGAAAGGGCAAGACAAAAGATTGAAGTGCCTTTGAACGGGGTATGGTAGTAAGTGCCAGGCGCACCGGTTTGTGTCAAGAACTGCAACGCTGCTGGGTTTTTCACGCTCAACAGTTTCCCATGTGTATCAAGAATGGTCCATCTCCCAAAGGCCATCCAGCCAACTTGACACAACTGTGGGAAGCATTGGAGTCAACATGGGCCAGCATCCCTGTGGAATGCTTTTGACACCTTGTAGAGTCCATTCCCTGACAAATTGAGGCTGTTCTGAAGGCAAAAGGGGGGGGGGGGGGGGTGCAACTCAATATTAGGAAGATGTTCCTAATGTTTGGTATACTCACTGTATATAAACCCTAGATTGTTAATGCTATGCATTGGCCATTGAGAGGCTTTGAAGCCATCGGTCGGCCATATTGGCACTCCCCAGTAGGAGCAGTAACCACAATTGAATCTAAAGCTTTCTTAAAGTCAAAGACAAATTACTGTATAAGTTGTTTGTTGTTTTATTGTGGACATTTGTATCTCAAAGAATGAATTAGAAAGCTTTATATACTTTTCTTTAAAAAAATGTTTGCTTAGATTTATTAAAGTATGCTTAGGGTCTGTAATTAATCATGACAAAATGATGTAGACATTAATACATGCATTTTTATAGCTTCAAATAGAGAAGGCTATATAAAAAGATGGAGGCACAGGGCTAACACGCACCCTTTCAGTAATACAAAATCATTGTGCAGTTGCAGGGTGGAGTAAGGGGTATGAAAATCATAGAGGAAACAGCTTGGACTGGCTTGGTGCCCCATTGGGGGCAAGGACCGCCCTCTGGCCTGAGTTTACGGCGACTATGACTGATCAAGTCCATTCTTCTACCATCACACAGCTCTGAAATAGTGAATAACCTTCCATGTCATGGTTTCCGACCAAAATAACAGTGGGGAAGATCAATCATATTAAATGTTCAGAATCAATATTCTACTTGCTGATTTGACTGTCCGTCACAGTTTTTCCATAAGAATATCCTATTTACCATTCAGTAACGCCACTAGGTGGCAATACATCCCCAAACATAATGTCTCAAGTTAGAAAAGTTCTAACAACAGAGAGATAGACAGTTAAAGGTAATGAAGGGAGTTGAGTGGTGTGTTTGTTCTCTTTAGTGTGTGTTTATCCATGTGTATGAAGACACATGTGGTCCTATGTAGCTTAATTGGTAGAGCATGGTGCTTGTAATGCCAGGGTAGTGGGTTCGATCCCCGGGACCACCCATACGTAAAAATGTATGCACACATGAATGTAAGTCGCTTTGGATAAAAGCGTCTGCTAAATGGCATATTATTATTATTAAGACGTAGGTCTCACCGTAACAGACCCCACCCTGGGCCTGGTGACCAGGTAAGCAGGGTATACACTCATAGGATCCTGGGGTGTTCTCACACTGCTCATTGGGACAGCTGCTGGGGTCCAGACACTCATTTATATCTGAGACGAGAATACACCAGACAAACACAGCCACTCATAAACACGAGAGCATTATTAAACCAATGTAGACACACATACACTGAGTGTACAAAATATTAGGAACTCCCCCCTCCCTTTTTGCCCTCAGAACAGCCTCAACGCTGGGGCCCCTCAGGGGTGCGTGCTTAGTCCCCTCCTGTACTCCCTGTTCACCTATGACTGCGTGGCCAAACACGACTCCAACACCATCATTAAGTTTGCTGACGACAGAACAGTGGTAGGCCTGATCACTGACACCGATGAGACAGGCTATATGGAGGAGGTCAGAGACCTGGCAGTGTGGTGCCAGGACAACAACCTCTCCCTCAATGTGAGCAAGACAAAGGAGCTGATCGTGGACTACAGGAAAAGGCGGGCCGAACAGGCCCCCATTAACATCGACGGGGCTGTAGTGGAATGGGTCGAGAGTTTCAGGTTCCTTGGTGTCCGCATCACCAACGAACTATCATGGTCCAAACACACCAAGACAGTCGTGAAGAGGGCACAACAACACCTTTTCCCCATCAGGAGACTGAAAAGATTTGGCATGGGTCCCCAGATCCTCAAAAAGTTCTACAGCTGCACCAGAGAGCATCCTGACCGGTTGGTATGGCAACTGCTCGGCATCTGACCGTAAGGCTTTCAGAGGAAAGCCCAAACAATTGTCATAAACTGTTCTCTCTGCTACCGCACGGCAAGCGGTACCGGAGCACCAAGTCTAGGACCAAAAGGCTCCTTAACAGGTTCTACCCCCAAGCCATAAGACTGCTGAACAATTAATCAAATGGCCACCCGGACTATTTACATTGACACCCCCCTCCATTGTTTTTACACTGCTGCTACCCGCTATCTATTATCTATGCATAGTCACTTTACCCCTACCTACATGCACAAATGACAATGACCTCGACTAACCTGTACCCCCGCACATTGACTCAGTACCGGTACCCCCTGTATATAGCCTCGTTATTGTTATTTTATTGTGTTACTTTTTTACTTTAGTCTATTTGGTAAATATTTTCTTAACTCTTTCTTGAACTTCATTGTTGGTTAAGGGCTTGTAAGTAAGCATTTCACGGTAAGGTCTACACCTGTTGTATTCGGCACATGTGACAAATCAAGTTTGATTTGATTTGATTCGCCTGGTCAGTCTATGTAATGTAATGAGCATTCTTAATGTTTTGTGCACTCAGTGTACACTGCACACACAAATGTGGAGACAAACATACACCCTACGACCAGAGATGAGGGCAGCAGCAGTTCTTACCTTCACAGGCTGGCTGGCGTTGGGACTTGCTCCTGAAGCCTTTGTGACAATCACACTTGTAGGACCCTGGCAGGTTAACACACTGACCCCCCTGTCCACAGATGTCCGGCTTGGAGCATTCATTCACATCTAAAGATAAGTCCAAAACCCACTAATGAGAAATCACAAGTGACAAAGTAAAGACTAGAGGGAGAAACAAAGAAAATAAAAACACATAAACCCACACAACACCAATCACCTATACATCTGAGTTTCCCATGATACACCAGGAGCTTGTAGCCATGGAGACAGCGGCAGCGGTAGGAGCCTTCTGTGTTGATGCAGATGCCTCTTCCATGGCCACATGGCTCAGCATCACACTCATCATCATCTGGTAGAGAGGGGTAACTTGGAGGTTTAGGGAATTGGGAGGTTATAACTCCTTTTGAGAATTGACATGCAAGTTCAATGAAACTATTATGATATAGAGTGCGTTATATGGCTCTGGTCAAAATATTTTGCCCAGTAAATACCTCCCATTCATTTGGACATGCTTCTGTCAGTCCCTTGACTTACCCACACAGGCGTTCCTCTGAGGGTGGAGCCGGTAGCCAGCGTAGCATTCACACTTGTAACCAGTGTGCACATTGACACACTCCCCATGGCCACAGAGGTTCCTGCTCAACCTGCACTCGTCTGTCTCTGCTGTGGGGAGGGGGGCACACAGCAATCACCCTAAGACGGTTGATCTCTGGACTGTACACCACATCATGGAGACAACAACGTTGCAGCTCTTAATGTTAACATGAGATGGTGGTTTTGATTGGACTGTTTAGTGGAACTCACGTGAGACCTGCGTCTGTGCCACCTCCAGGGGGCCACTGTCTGGGTTCACCCTGATGATGGGCGGAGGGGTGGGCTTGGTGATGATCTCTGTGGGACCAACCAAAGAAACAGACAGACCCACTCAATACCCCATGTCTCCCTGAATATCACCAGGTTTTCCTAGTAAAAGGCCTCTCTTGACCTCAATAGGACTTTCTGGATTAATACAAGATAAATAAAAAATAAAGGAATGAGAGGCGTACCAGGGCCGCGAGGGCCGCGGGTGGACAGCTGCATAGGTGTAGTTGTCTCTGGAGGCCCCTCCTACAGGACAGGACACAGAGACACAGGCCAGTACGAAAATGCAGGGGTGCAACTTTCACAGGGGACGGGGGACATGCCACCCCCCCCCCCCCCCCACATTATGAAATAGCATTTTTGTCGCCTCCAGTTTTATCATTGGAATGTGATTCAAAATGAGGCAACAGTGTGCTTTAGGACCATGCGGAAGCCTCCGAGCGGTCGGGTAGGCTGTTTGGAGTGTTTATCCGACTGGATAAAAAAAATATATTTATGTCCCCCCCACTTCTAAAACCAAAGTTGCGCCCCTGCGAAAATGTATGCACTCACTACTGCATGTCGCTCTGGACAAGAGCGTCTGCCAAACGACTAAAAATATATAAATTGTCAAATGTAAGAGGATCTGCACACACACACACTCTCTCCCACAATGACTGGTGTCTAAAGGAAAATAGTTTCTTACCGGGGGCTTGACTTCTGAAAAAGAGAACACACTGGTCAAAATGCAGAATAATGACGCATTGTAATTCACAGATTATGAATTTGAGGCACTCTTAAGTAACAGTAATATGGAGGCATCTCCAATAACCTGACAGCATGCTCTCACAAGCTTAGCAATATCATCTTTCTAAGTGACTAGAGACTCCAGAATGTAGTACATCTGTTGGCAGGCAGACAAAGGTAATCATGCCTTGCCTTCATCTACGTCTTGGGAAAGCCACAGTGACTGACTCACCCTGCTTGTGCTCCTGCTCCAGGCTGGTGTGGATCTGAGGAGGGAACGCCACTGTCTCCCGGACACTATGGAGGAAGTAGCCCTTCCCTGCTGGACAGATCTTGTTGAAGGAGGCTGGGGGACCAGGAAGAGAGGAAAGAGAAGGAAAAATAGGGGATCAGATGAGCACTAATCATACAGCATATCACCTGTCAAATCACCTGTCAAATACTGAAATCCCCCACTCTCCCTCTCTAGCATCCCACTGACCTGTGCCGTCTTGGGGACACCTCTCACAGCTGGAGCCCCAGGCCTTGCCCACGGTGCAGCAGCACATCTCCTGGGACAGGTGCGTGGGTAGGGCATGCTCACAGCGACCCGCCTCTGTTGCCATGAGGAAACACTGAGCCTGCTCCACTGGAGATGGAGAGTCTGACAGCCAGGATCAGTCAGAACAGAGCAAAACACAACAGAGGTCTGAGTTAAGACATTAGGCTGACAAAAGAGGTCAATCGGTGTAGTGCTATTTATTGAGAGGAAAATCATATGACATTTCTATCATTTCAGATGAGTGGCATTTTAAATAATGGAAATAATGGATGTGTAAAAACAGCACACTAAATATTGGGACATCAAAGCTAAGCTGTCTGCTTTGGTGACAGCTTTTTGGATGTGAAACACATTTCAGCCTCTCGATTGCCAACAAATAAAAAAAAAGACACTTCACAGTCTCTAAACCAGCCCCAGATGAGAGGAGAGGAGACAGGAGAATAAAGTGAATAGTGCTGCTGCTACTGAAAACGATATATCTGTGCTGTGTGAATGCAAAGTCCTGTGTAGAGCAGGGCCCACATTCACAAAACCTTAAGAATACATTTCTTCTTAACTGCAATTTTTTTGCACATGTTTAATTCACTCACAAACGTCATCTGAAAGTTTCAGTATTGATTATTTTAAACCAAAGAACATGTTTTAGAACAGTAATCTCGGTACGAAATATGCTAACATGACTGCCATTGCTAGCTTGATCGCTAGCTAAATCGGTTGCCTAGTAACAATCATTTTAATAATAATAATAATAATAATAATAATAATAATAATAATAATAATATGCCATTTAGCAGACGCTTTTATCCAAAGCGACTTACAGTCATGTGTGCATACATTTTTACGTATGGGTGGTCCCGGGGATTGAACCCACTACCCTGGCATTACAAGCACCATGCTCTACCAATTGAGCTACAGAGGACCACCAATAAGATAGTTAAGAAGTTCTTAAGAAGATTTTGAGAAGTTCTTAAGAAAATCATGAGTTCTTAAGAAGTGTTTGAGGAATTGCATTTTTTTTTCTTAAGAAGCTTCTTAAGGTTTTGCATAAGAAGTGGTTTGTGACCCGGGTCTGTCTGGAAGAGGTTCTGAGTCTCACCCACACATCTGGTCCTGTCCAGGGTGAAGCCAGGCTTACAGGCACACAGGAAACTACCCTGGGTGTTCAGGCACTCCCCTTTCTGACACACCCCCTGCATGGTGCACTCGTTGATGTCTTACAGGTGAGAGAGTTGGGGACAGAGAGTGGGGGGAGAGAGAGTGGGGGGAGAGAGAGTGGGGGGAGAGAGAGTGAGGGGAGAGAGAGTGGGGGGAGAGAGAGTGGGGGAGAGAGAGTGAGGATTGGCTTGTCAGTGAAGCAGTAGCTGTAGCACGTACCAAACAAAACTTGATTAATGTTACCTTGACAGTGGGTGCTGTTGAGTCTCTTGTAGCCCAGAGGGCAGGTGGAACCATAGTCCTCTATGATGGTCTGCAGCTTCACTCCAGCATCTGAGGGTAAGGCAGGGAATGGGGGGGGGGGGGTTATCAACGTAATTAGAGCGGTATAAATAAATGTTTTGTCATACACGTGGTATACGGTCTGATATACCACGGCTGTCAGCCAATCAGCATTCAGGGCTCGAACCACCCAGTTTATAATGCTCATTAGACACTGTGTAGAACATTCTATAAATCTCTGAGAATCTGAGAAGAAAGACTAATCCATTAGTAATAGCATCATCCTACATCCGAACTATCCTACTCTGTTTCTAATAGCAGTCATACACTAAGTAGCTAGCTCATTCAACTGTTCCTTGTTTTGTCTGGACACACTGTCAACATAGGCAGCATGACAGTAAGTGTGTATGATTCCATGGGACATATGTGTGCATAGATGACACAAGATTGATCAGAGCCTGGGATTGAGAGTTTACGGCAGAGGAGGCTGGTGGGAGGAGCTATAGGAGGGATGGCTCATTGTAATGGATGGAATGAAATAAATGTGGTTTCCATATGTTTGATGTGTTTTTCTACCGTTACATTTATTCAATTCGAGCCATTACAATGAGCCCGTCCTCCTATAGCTCCTCCCACCAGCCTTCTCTGGATTCCGGGTATCCAAGTCTGAGCAAGAGAGCACTAAGAGTGGGAAAATAAAAGAGAACAGGGGTAAAACAACCACACCAAACTCCACCTCATCTGGGAAATAGCGACTTAACAGAAAGGAATCAAATGAAGATAGAAAACAGTGGTCGATGAGTGCATTTTCCACTAGTCAGAAATATGTCAAGAAAAAACTTGTCGGAAACTGTGAGAACATTTCCTTCCAGAATACATTTCAAAAATATATTGAAAGAAAAGTACAACTTTAAAAAGTGAATGCTTCCCAAGAAAAGTCCAGAATCATATTTTCCGCTAGTCCCTTTTGTCTGTTCATACACAGAAGGCGTGTCATACAAACAATTCAACGTTCCTACAACGTTCCTACAACGTTCCTAGAAAAGAGAGGAGAAGCACGCCAGACAGGGATCCTGCTGTCCCAAGTTGAAAGAATAACCAGAGCTATCCTTTTCTTACAAAGGGTTCTTTGTCTGACTCACAACTGAGGAATGGAGTAATAGAAAAATGGAGTGGGCAAGAGATTTGTGGGGCGCAGCTTGAAATTCGATGACAGTATTCCACTGGCCTGGCACATGGGAAGACACGTAACTGCAGGGTACTTCTCCCTCGCTCTCCCTCGCTCTCCCTCTCCTTCACTCACTTGAGCACACACACACACACACACACACACACACACACAAAAATGCAGGCACATTTTTTCATGAGCTGGGAATGAATGATTGGCGGGGACGGTTGACGTTTTTGGCTCCGTAAACAAATGACTTAATCCGTATAACAGCAGAGACATCCAGATAAGACATCTGCCAAGGAGTCAAATTATAAACAATGGAAACTCAGTTGTCACACCTTGACAGATAATAATCAAGATACACGACAGATATGCAGTTAGAGATGGAGGACAGAAGATCACAAATGATAGAATGGCAGATCACCAGTATTTCAGAAAGGACACACACACATGCGCGTGCACACACACACACACACACTTAAGCAAGTCAAGAAGTTCATTCTGAGGCATTTGGTACTCACACGGTAGCTTGGGACATTTATAACATTTGTTTTGTCCCCAGGAGTTCCCCACACTTCCACAGCAGTCCTCCTGGTTGGTCAGTACAGGAAGAGGGGTACTGCTACACTGAAGCACATGGCGTGAGAAAGAGAAAGAAAGAGGGAAATGCACAAAATGGCGATAATTGAATGTGAAGTGATAATCACTGTGTTGATGGGCGGTGTAACTCACAGCTTGTTTGGGCGTGGTCTCCTGGAAGCACCGCCCCCTGGGTTTGTGCGTCTGAGGGGTCAAGCGTGTCACAGTTTTATGAGGGGGCTTGGAATTCGATTGGTCGAGAGGACGGATGACAACGGATGTGTCGTGTGTATGGTGGACACGCACATTGAACTGCACTGAAAAGAGAGAGAGAGAGAGAGATAGGGGGGGGAGGGGGGAGAAAGAAGGGAGACACCAAGAAAAAAAGATAGAGAGAAACATATGGGAGATTACATGAATGTGACTACAGTTCTTTATAATGTCACCCAAAATAAACTTCTAAATAGCACAGGTATTGAAATATACAGAAATATGGCTGTGGTTTCAGTGGCAACAGTTTGACATGATTGGTACCTTCTGATGAGTGGTGTCCTGCCCCCTGTGCCAGGGGAAGGGTGAACACAGAGTGGGTCTGTGCCAGCTGTGGTCGCCCCATGGCCGCCTGCTCGCCCTGGCTCTGGCCGTCTGGCAGCACTGACAGCGTGTAGACGGGTTGCTTGTTGCCCCGCGCCGCCTGGGCCTCGGGCATCTGCCTTAGCGGGAACTGGCACAGCCGCCCAGTGAAACCTGGCGGGCACAGGCAGTGGGTCCGCGAGCTGCACACCCCTCCATTCATACAGGTCAGTGGACACACAACTAGAAAGGCATGGAGAGAGAAAAAGTGTTGTTATTGAATAAAAAATAAAACACATCACCAAGCCATGAGTAGTATAGGGGAGGAGAAACACAGCACATGGCAAACATAATCAATCAACATCATGTATTGTCGGGCCTTATTCATTTGGAGCATTATTTTAAACAGAGAACAGTTGGGACTTCTACAGCAGGAACATAGATCCAGTAGAAAACAAAACCCTGATGTGAGCAGCTTCCAGTATGAGTCACTTTGGATTTCGGGACTAAATGCCACGGTCAAATCACATCAGCTCCATGCGCAAATAAGCTGCGTCAGCCAATCAGCAGCAGGGAGCAGGAGCTGGCTATGGATGAGAGCAGGCCAGAGCTAGATGTTCCGGTTTTAAGGGGAAATGGAAAGAGAGCCTGTGACTCGACTTCCACTTTTGAACGTTAACAAGGGTCCTTGGGACGTCAATACCCCCCCCCCCCCCCCCCCCCCCCCCCCCCCCCTCCCCTCCTAATGGTTATGGTAAGGGTTAAGGTAAGGTTAGGTAAGTGTTATGGTTAAGGTTAGGGTCAGGGTCAGGGTTGGTGTTAAGGTTAGGGTTTAGGGTAGGGACGTCCCAAGGATCTTGGTTAGCACTAAGCCGTTAACAAGGCGACACTCCATCTTAACTCCTCGTCCACATTTACTGGATTGGTTGAACAGTGCAGAAGACAACCTCCCCCGACAGGTTTTTTTCTTCTCATTAAGCCCAGTATGCAGTTCCACTGCATTTTTTAATTGTTCCCCTCTAATCAGGGACTGAATTAGACCTGGAACACCAGGTGTGTGCAATTCATTATGAGGTAGAACAGAAAACCAGCAGGCTCGTAGGGTAAGAGTTGAATACCCCTGATGTAGGGGATGTAGTTTCAGGCATATCTTTTACGCCTGTACGTTAGGTTAGGGAAGAGTAGAACACTGATACGAATGACCGCTTTTTACTGGTATACGGAAAAGACTTGAAACCACAGGAGATCTGCTATGCCATATATACTGCTCCATAGGTTTCCCTTTGTGTTTACTTTTCTAGGAGCTCCTTTTCTCCCTAAAGGAGAATCAGATGAAACAGTGGGGGCAGAATACAAACCAGACAGACAATCAGCAGAAATAATACCCAGGAAGATTGGTGCATTAATAACACACATATTAGAATAGTCATAGCACAAATTGTGCAATAAATTGCACTAAATAACATAAACAGTAACAAATTGACATTTTGACAATTTATCATTCCCAAAATGTTGTAGTCTCTCTCTGTCCCATATTGTGTTCATAAATGAAATCAGAAGCTGAAGCTCAGTGGTTTGGATGTCTTGCACTGCAGTCTAACATAACAGAATCACAGGGATGCAGGCAGCGTGAGCCAGCCAGCCAGGCAGCCAGCCAGCCAGGCAGCCAGCCAGCGTTAGCCAGCCAGCCAGCGAGAGAGAGAGACGGCTCAGCATGTCTGACTGAGACGGAGACCCACCCAGTGGTTGAGAGGAGGCCTCTTCGTGTTACCCGCCCGGCAGAGCAGAGCACCACACACTGAAGCAATTAGGCCTGGACTTCCTCGGAGTCTAGGCCGCTGTGTAATAACGGGACTAGATGACCTCTAACACAACGGGGACATGAATGTGTGCACGCATGACTGTAAGTCGCTTTGGATAAAAGCGTCTGCTAAATGGCTTATTATTATTATTATTATTATCTTTAAACCAATGAAAGTCAAGGAACAGAGCAAGTGGAGAAATCCCTCTGTTTAAATGTGCAGCGGGGTCGACTGGGCTGTTCTGACGCAGCCTGCACCATAATTACCCGTGACAGTGGTCTTTAACCCAGAGCAGACCGCTACATGCAGCAGCAGGTTAGTGGGGAGGCTCAAAGATAGCAGGGGAAAACACAGAGAGTAATCCAGCTGGAGAAGGACTTCCCAACCTCGTACTGAGCAGAGACATCTATTGTGTGCCTGGCTGACTTTTTGTCTCAGTATAGAAAGCTGGAAAGAGAGTGAGAGAGGGAGAGAGAAAGCGGAGCAATCTATGATGGATAGACAATTAGGAAGAGAAGACAGAGAAAGAGAGGGAGAAAGAATGAAAGAAAGAAAGGACAGGGGTGTAACCTCCATCCAAACCCAACTATACAACTTAAACCCACAGGGACTGGAGAGACAACATAGGAAAAGTCTGGTAAGGCTTGGGGAGAGGGCCGGTCTGGCTGAGACGCTGTCTCAGAGAGAGCAGAGTAGACCCTCTGACAGGGAGCTGGAGCTCACAGCAGTCACACGCACGCACGCACGCACACACACACACACACACACGCTATACTTAGGTCCCCTCCATGACAAACAACTGGAAGGGCTTCTATGAAAGAAATAACAAAGCCCTTAGGTAATAGTACTCAAAATTATATCTCTGTCTCCAAGAAAATGTTGTGCACATGCCATGAAGCAGACTGTACTTCGCTGTGGTTAAACAAAAATCAGGTGATTGAGTCATTCTTTTTGATGTTTAGAAATAACCCCAGCACTGGGCTTCACAACAAAGACTGCAGCACAGGGCCGTCTGCCATTTCAAGTACATCTCTTGATGTGTGCTTGTACTGGGAATTATATATAAAAAAAAAAAATTATGTTGGGGGGATAGATCAGCTTTAATATTGCAGGGGCTGTAGTGGAACAGGTTGAGAGCTTCAAGTTCCTTGGTGTCCACATCACCAACGAACTATCATGGTCCAAACACACCAAGACAGTCGTGAAGAGGGCACGACAAAGCCTATTCCCCCTCAGGAGACTGAAAAGATTTGGCATGGGTCCTCAGATCCTCAAAAAATTCTACAGCTGCACCATCGAGAGCATCCTGACTGGTTGCATCACCGCCTGGTATGGCAACTGCTTGGCCTCCGACCACAAGGCACTACAGAGGGTAGTGCGTACGGCCCAGTACATCACTGGGGCCAAGCTTCCTGCCATCCAGGACCTCAATACCAGGCGGTGTCAGAGGAAGGCCCTCAAAATTGTCAAAGACTCCAGCCACCCTAGTCATAGACTGTTCTCTCTGCTACCGCACGGCAAGCGGTACCGGAGTGCCAAGTCTAGGTCCAAAAGACTTCTCAACAGCTTCTACCCCCAAGCCATAAGACTCCTGAACAGCTAATCATGGCTACCCGGACTATTTGCACTGCCCCCCCATCCCATCCTTTTTACGCTGCTGCTACTCTGTTAATTATTTATGCATAGTCACTTTAACTCTACCCACATGTACATATTACTTCAACTACCTCAACTAGCCGGTGCCCCCGCACATTGACTCTGCACCGGTACCCCCCTGTATATATAGCCTCCCTTCTGTTATTTTATTTTACTTCTGCTCTTTTTTTCTCAACACTTTTTTTGTTGTTGTTTTATTTTTACTTTTATTTTTTTAAAATAAATGCACTGTTGGTTAAGGGCTGTAAGTAAGCATTTCACTGTAATGTCTGCACCTGTTGTATTCGGCGTATGTGACCAATAAAATGTGATTTGATTTGATTTGAGATTGTAACTTCCATCAATGTAATTGTCTGCATCACTTCCAATCCCCCATGTTTTTTTTCTCTCGCAAATATATATAAATATACATATACACACATACATTTACACATACATACATATAAATATATATACATACATACATACATACATACATACATATCCTTTAAAAAATATATTTCCCTTTATTACTTTCCAACTCCACCACCCCTTCCCTAATTGGAGTAAACTAGTGAACAACAACGCTTAGGCCTCTACTTCCAGCTTATACATACTATATACATTTTATGGACACAGTCAATTTTACAATCCTTCTATTTTGTTTGTTTTCACTCCTGAACTTCTTCAACCTCTCCGATCATTTTCATGATCCAGTTTGCTTCTATATGCCATATCTCTCCAACTGTTCTCCTTCACAAAAGCTCTCAACCTCTAACCTATATACTTATTATGGACACAGCATGCCCTACAGTAGTTATCTTTCCGTTATTAGTTGTTGTTAGTTGTTATTAGTCCCATCCTTCAGCTCCATTCAACACCTCCCATCTATCTCTTAACACCATCCATATTGAACCTTTCTATTCTCATTGTTTCTACAGATTGTAAATTGAAAATAAATATTTTTGCTAAAAGTATTATTATATTATTGATCGATTGACTATGACTTTTCAGATCACCCAGTAGTGCTATCTGCAGGGTTAGCTCCAGGTTAATATTGCAATCCTTCAGCCATTCCTGGACCTGTGACCAAAAACAAGCCACAAATGGACAGTACCAAAACAAATGATCTAATGATTCTGTCTCTTCGCAGCAAAATCTGCAGAGCTGGGAAGATTGCATCCCCCATATAAATTACATTATATTGGTGCATCCCCCATATAAATAACATTCTATTGGTAGCAAGAATTTTGTTTTGAATCCGGCATCGTTTTGCGTATCAGTTCATAAACACTATGCCATGGAATCGGTACGTCAAAAATCTCTTCCCAACTATTTTGCAATCTATATGGGACGGCTGTCAATCCTTTGGTCCTTAAATGAAACTGATATACTTTTTTATTTATCGCAATTTTCTTTAACCAATTATGTTCTTTAATGCAAGGCCGACAGACAAGTTCCTTACTTTCTCCCCCTTCCATATGTTTTTGTTAGCTGCATGTGCGACATAACTCCACCAGTCCTACCTATGATATCATTTACGAAGATTATACCTTTTTAATTTTTTATCAATTAGTATATTTGAGTTTAACCACAATATTTGTTGCATTATTTGTTCTGTCGTTTCTGGAGGATTAAATTGAAATTGCAACCAACTTTCTATGGATTGTTTTAGAAATAGTGATATTTGGGAGATTATTTCCTTTTCAAATAATTTAAAGTGAGAGGTTGTAATCTGAATAAAGGGGGAAATGGTATTCCCTTCCCCACAGATTAGCTACAGTAGTTGGATGGAGGACTGGTGCTTAGCGTGACAGACTCACCACATACAGTAACTAATCAGGTAGAGAGGGTGGACCTCCAAGTCCACTAATCAGTCTACACCACACTGACTGGATCAGGACGCCAGGACTCTAACTGGTCCTCTTACAGTGTACAGGAGGGGTTTAAACTAGACTCCACATCTGCTTCATCTATCTAAACCAACCCAGGGCAGTTTGAGAGACCTGGGTATAATACACATGGACTAATGCTTTCTGCAGACTGTCTGAGTGAGTGATACGATGTGGGACTGTTATGATCCAGTCATGATAATATGTATTCCTCTGCATCCCTGAATTATGAAACCCAACTGAGCACAGACAGTCTGCAGAGGTGAAAATCTCTCACTCTGTTGAGTGGGTAGCAGACAGTGTCAGAATGGCCTAGCGTAGATCATCTGAAACACTAAAGCCACCCAGCTTTAAGCTCTATTACCATGCCAACAAATGCTTGCCCACTGGTCAAAGACTGGTGGAATCAACGTTGTTTCCATGTCATTTCAACCCAAAATATATATGTGATGATGATGAATCTACATGGAAAACTGATTGTATTTGCAAAAAGTCATCAACGTAAGGGCTTTTATTTTTAATCACCCAACTTTCAACCTAAATCCAATGACATGGTGACATTTGTTGTTGATTTCACATTGAATTCACGTTCGTAAGACAACTCAACCAAACGTAAATCAAAACTAGACGTTGAACTGACGTCTGTGCCCAGTGGGTGGTGCTATCTAGGCTATATTATACAGCACTATATATTATAAAGCACTTCTATGAAACCTATGATCCCAATATGGATATAAATTCACGGCCACCACCATTAATAACGAGCCCAAATCCTCAGGGGACGTGTTTTAAATTATCCTCACATGTCACTTTCACATTATACAATTTTAATGCCATGTCTTTGGAAATAGATGTTATACTCAAAATTGGCTCACAGGTATGTTCCAAACCGCATTTAAAGGGAAAATCTTTTTCCTATCCAGCATGTGCTGGAAGCGAAAGAGAGAAAAGACAGTGGGAGAGGAGGAGGGAGAAAGGACTTTTTTTTCAAAGCTCTTCTCAACATAGTGTTTTATGTGACAGAGGAGTGAGAGCGCCTTCCCCATAATGCCGTGATTTAGACTGAGACAGACAGTGTGTAGGGGAGGAACTGCAGGAAATAGAGGGACAGAAAGGGAGAGAGAGAGAGAGAGAAAGTGAGAGAGAGAGAGAGAGAGAGAGAAGAAAAGGGAGAGATGGAGGAATGGAGAAAGGGGGAGAGGGGAGGAGTGTGTGAGAAAGAGAAGTAGAATAGAGAAAGTGCAATGGAAGAACCATCAGAGGGATCCAAATGAATCTGCTGTTATTGCTTCTCCAGATGCAGAGAATTTTTCATTCACATACCTGTCATTCATCAACTGTAGTGTGAGCAAGCTGAGACAACGATACACACATAGATACGAATGTACACACACACACACATACACAAAGTGTGCCCACTGACACACTACCACAGATTTGGCACACTAACCAGCCTGGTTTCATAGACTAGATGCAACATAGTAAACGTAAATCCGGGACACTCAAATAAGTATGATATGTTACATTTGGTATGGTTACATAAGACAGAAGGTTACTTAAGGCAAAAACTAAAGTACGGTGGTTGGTCGGAGTGGACGGGTGGGCGTATAACGCGAAATGTCTAACAACCCAAAGGTTGGTGTTCGAATCTCATCGCGGACAACTTTAGCATTTTAGCTAATTAGCAACAAAAATATAAACGTAACATGTAAAGTGTTGGTCCCATGTTTCATGAGCTGAAAAAAAAGATCCCAGAAATGTTCCACAACCACAGACCACGTGTAACCATGCCAGCCTAAGACCTCCACATCCGGTCTGAGACAAGCCACCCAGACAGCTGACGAAACTGTGGGTTTGCACATCCGAAGAATTTCTGCACAAACTGTCAGAAAGCGTCTCAGGGAAGCTCATCTGCGTGCTCGTCATCCTCACCAGGGTCTTGACCTGACTACAGTTCGGCGTCATAACCGACTTCAGTGGGCAAATGCTTACCTTAATTGCCACTGGCACGCTGGAGAAGTGTGCTCTTCACGGATGAATCCCAGTTTTCAACTGTACCGGGCAGATGGTGTTGTGTGGGTGAGCGGATTGCTGATGTCAACGTTGTGAACAAAGTGCCCCATGGTGGTGGTGGGGTTATGGTATGGGCAGGCATAAGCTACGGACAACGAACACAATTGCATTTTATTGATAGCAATTTGAATGCACAGAGATACCTTGACGAGACCCTGAGGCCCATTGTCGTGCCATTCATACGCCGCCATCACCTCATGTTTCAGCATGATAATGCACAGCCCCATGTCGCAAGGATCTGTAAACAATTCCTGGAAGCTGAAAATGTTCCAGTTCTTCCATGGCATGCATACTCACCAGACATGTCACCAATTGAGCTGTTTGGGATGCTCTGGATTGACGTGTACGACAGCGTGTTCCAGTTCCTGCCAATATCCAGCAACTTCGCATAGCCATTGAAAAGGAGTGGGACAACATTCCACAGGCCACAATCAAGTGACTCGGTCAATATGGAAGTGGTCAGGTGACGCGGATGCTACGCTACAGGACTGTTTTGCTAGCACAGACTGGAATATGTTCTGGTATTCATCCAATGGCATTGAGGAAAATACCACCTCAGTCACCGGCTTCATCAATAAGTGCATCGACGATGTCTTCCCCACAGTGACCGTACGTACATATCCCAACCAGAAGCCATGGATTACAGGCAACATCTGCACCGAGCTAAAGGCTAGAGCTGCCGCTTTCAAGGAGCGGGACACTAATCAGGACGCTTATAAGAAATCTCGCTATGCCCTCCGACGAACCATCAAACAGGCAAAGTGTCAATACAGGACTAAGATTGAATCCTACTACACCGGCTCTGACGCTCATCGGATGTGGCAGGGCTAGAAAACTGTTACGGACTACAAAGGGAAACCCAGCCGCGAGCTGCCCAGTGACGCAAGCCTACCAGACGAGCTAAATACCTTTTATGCTCGCTTCGAGGCGAGCAACACTGAAGCATGCAATGATCCACAGCATCAGTTTTGTGATTTCTCAATTCAATTCCAAATACAGCTTCACCCTTCCAACTTTCTCCCTTTCTCCCATCATATCAGCCACTGTGCTTCTGCCTCTGCATTGCTTGCTCTTTGGGGTTTTACACTGGGTATCTGTAAAGCACTTTGTGACGACTGCTGATGTAAAATGGGCTTCATTTACATTTGATTGATTGATATCATACTGACTATATGTCTATGGATGGAACTAGAACATGTTCCAGGAAGAAATCCCTCTGTGAAAATGAAAAGGGATGGATCGCTCACATGATTCAGTTCTTTGTTGATTGACTTATTCTCTCAACACACACTCTGGATTGATTCTCATCATAGAGTAGCAGGTACACAAGGCCTTGCCCATTGATTACTCTGTGAGCATGTTGTTTTCTGATTTCCAAGGTTACATTTATCTCTCGATCAGAACAGACCAGATAACAGGTTTAAGCTGTTCAGCAGGTCCTCCTCAAAATATGTTTCTCATTCCAGGTTGTTAAAAAGGACTTGGAGTCTCTGCACGTATGTGATGTGAATGATACTCGATGAGTGTGTGGTGATAGAAATGAATCATGCTTGCAGAAGAACAACAATGTTCCATAAGACAGCATAAAAAAGAAAGAAGAAAAAAGAAAGAAGAAAAAGGTATTGCACAAAACATTACCTTGACACGCAAAACTCAAAATATATATTTCACCAACATTTGTACATATACAAAATATACAATAGATACACCTGCACAATCTATTTTACACATAGCTATTACGTACAGGGAAGCTATCCCTTTAAATAGTAATGCCAGAGGTCAGGTCGATGACAATAGGGTCACAACAAGCTAGCTCACATTAGCAGCATATAGCCCTTGATAGGCATTTTGCGTCCCAAATGGCACCTTGTTCCCTACATGGTGCACTACTTTTGACCAGAGCCCTATGGGCCCTGGACAAAAGTAACACACTATACGTGTGGTGAATAGGGAGCGATTTGGGACACAATTATTGTCTAGCTCCCCTACCAGTATGTCAATGTCCTAAAGCCCCTGCCAAGAGGTCTGGCCTTTTATGGCACAGGTAGTACACTCATTTCACAGAGGGTCACTGCTTCAAGTCCCTCTTTGTCCCCTAAATCAATACATGATCAACAGGGTTGATCGGTCAGATAAAGACTGTGGTGCCGCCTGGGCATCTCTTTGGGCACTGCCCACCAATGTCCTATTTGGTCGGGGAGTGAGGGTTAGGAGTCCAGCACCTCCTCATTTTCAGCACTGGCTTTCTGATAACCTCTGACATTTGATGTAAGACCCCAAGCCTTGGGATGCAAGAGGTTCATGAGAACAGTTCTTAGTATCTGCCCAAACAAACAAACACACACACACAAAACACACACAAACACACACACACACGTAACCCAGAACAATAGTCCGTGAGTCAATAAGTCCTGACAGTTCCAGGACAAACAAAGGAAAAGGCATCTCCATAGTCCAATACTCTACACACTCTCAGTCTGTATCCAACTCGCTAAGGAATAAAAAAATATTATAAAAAATATTTTTAAAAAACTCTGAAGCATGCATGAGAGCACCAGCTGTTCCGGACGACTGTGTGATCATGCTCTCCATAGCCGATGTGAGCAAGACCTTTAAACAGGTCAACATTCACAAGGCCGCGGGCCAGACGGATTACCAGGACGTGTACTCAGAGCATGCACGGACCAACTGGCAAGTGTCTTCACTGACATTTTCAACCTCTCCCTGACCGAGTCTGTAATACCTACATGTTTCAAGCAGACCACCATAGTCCCTGTGCCCAAGGAAGAGATGGTAACCTACATAAATGACTACCGCCCCATAGCACTCACGACGGTAGCCATGAAGTGCTTTGAAAGGATGGTCATGGATCACATCAACACCATCATCCCGGAAACGCTAGACGCACTCCAATTCGCATACCGCCCCAGCAGATCCACAGATGACACAAACTCAATTGCACTCCAAACTGCCCTTTCCCACCTGGATAAAAGGAACACCTATGTGAGAATGCTGTTCAATGACTACAGCTCAGCGTTCAACACCATAGTGCCCACAAAGCTCATCACTAAGCTAAGGATCCTGGGACTAAACACCTCCCTCTGCCCCCAGGTGGTAAGGGTAGGCAACAACACATCTGCCACGCTGATCCTCAATACTGGGGCCCCTCAGGGGTGTGTGCTTTGTCCCCTCCTGTACTCCCTGTTCACCCACGACTGCGTAGCCAAGCACGACTCCAACACCATCATTAAGTTTGCTGACGACACAACGGTGGTAGGCCTGATCACCGACAACGATGAGACAGCCTATAGGCAGAAGGTCAGAGACCTGGCAGTGTGGTGCCGGGACAACAACCTCTCCCTCAATGTGATCAAGACTAAGGAGCTGATCGTGTGGCTGTAGTGAAGCGGGTCTAGAGTTTCAGGTTCCTTGGTGTCCACATCACCAACAAACGATCATGGTCCAAACACACCAAGACAGTCGTGAAGAGGGCACAACAACACTTTTTCCCCATCAGGAGACTGAAAAGATTTGGCATGGGTCCCCAGATCCTAAAAAAGTTCTACAGCTGCACCATCGAGAGCATTCTGACCGGTTGCATCACCGCCTGTTATGGCAACTACTCGGCATCCGACCGTAAGGCGCTACAGAGGGTAGTGAGTACAGCCCAGTACATCACTGGGGCCAAGCTTCCTGCCATCCATGACCTATATAATAGGTGGTGTCAGAGGAAGGCCCAAAAATGGTCAAAGACTCCCATCACCCAAGTCATAGACTGTTCTCATTGCTACCGCATGGCAAGCGGTACCGGAGCACTGAGTCTAGGTCCAAAAGGCTCCTTAACAGCTTCTACCACCAAGCCATAAGACTGCTGAACAATTAATCAAATAGCCACCCAGACTATTTACATTGACCCCCCTCCCCTTTGTTTTTACACTGCTGCTACTCGCTGTTTATTATCTATGCATAGTCACTTTACCCCTACCTACATGTACAAATGACCTCGACTAACCTGTACCCCCGCACATTGACTCTGTTCCGGTACCCCCTGTATATAGCCTTGTTATTGTTATTTTATTGTGTAATTGTTTTATATTTTTTTACTTTCGTTTATTTAGTAATTATTTTCTTAACTCTATTTCTTGAACTGCATTGTTGGTTAAGGGCTTGTAAGTAAGCATTTGATTTGAGTTGATTTTGACTTTAAACCCGCCACCTAGTCACCTAGCTAACGTTAGCCACAACAAATTGGAATTCGTAACATATATGTTCTCAAAATTGTAACATATTGTACAAATTGCAATTCGTAAAATATTGTACAAATTGCAATACGTAACATATCATACAAATTGTAATTCATAACATTTCATATGAAATGGATGATGGATGTCCACAAATTAATGAATACCATACGAAACGTAACACATCATACTAATTGGAGTTTCCCGGATTTACATTTACTATGTTACGTCTACCCCTGAGTCCAGGTTGCACTAACGTAGACCTAGATGTACAATACTATACAGTGGCTTGCGAAAGTATTCACCCCCCTTGGCATTTTTCCTATTTTGTTGCCTTACAACCTGGAATTAAAATAGATTTTTTGGGGGGTTTGTATCATTTGATTTACACAACATGCCTACCACTTTGAAGATGCAAAATATTTTTTCTTGTGAAACGAACAAGAAATAAGACAAAAAAAACAGAAAACTTGAGCGTGCATAACTATTCACCATGATTCACTGTGGGGATGGTTTTGGTGGGTGGCACTCTCTTGGAAGGTTTGTTGTGGTGCCATATTCTTCAATTTTTTAATAATGGATTTAATGTTGCTCCGTGGGATGTTCAAAGTTTCTGATATTTTTTTAGAACCCAACCCTGATCTGTACTTCTCCACAACTTTGTCCCTGACCTGTTTGGAGAGCTCCTTGGTCTTCATGGTGCCGCTTGCTTGGTGGTGCCCCTTGCTTAGTGGTGTTGCAGACTCTGGGGCCTTTCAGAACAGGTGTATATATACTGAGATCATGTGACAGATCATGTGACACTTAGATTGCACACAGGTGGACTTTATTTAACTAATTATGTGACTTCTGAAGGTAATTGGTTGCACCAGATCTTATTTAGGGGCTTCATAGCAAAGGGGGTGAATACATATGCATGCACTACTTTTCCGTTATTGAGTTTTATGAATTTTTAAAATTTCACTTCACCAATTTTGACTATTTTGTGTATGTCCATTACATGAAATCGAAATAAAAATCCATTTAAATTACAGGTTGTAAAATGCCAAGGGGGATGAATACTTTTGCAAGGCACTGTACATACACAGAAATACTGACACATTTTGGAATGTTTAATTATATTACTTCAGACCAATTACTGGTTGCTAGGTTTTTCATTCCAATCAACCAGGTTTGAGGACAACAGGGTGGAGAGTTTTAGCCAAGGATAATATTTTAACAATAGTTACTTTACTAACTCAAGACTTCACCCATTTTCAATGCCAAACCTGGACGTTTCTACACTCCAGATTGAGCAAGAACCATTCTATTTCCTTTTCAGTGATCCAAAGCCCCAGGAGCAACAATAGGTTAAACTAAGTCCCCATTAAAATGAAACCTAGGTGAAGCGATGAAAACTCAGAGCTCTCTCATATCACTGCATCACAGTTCATACAGTGCATGTAAAACCAGAAAAACTCATACTGCCCCCAGACCTCAACATGAGCTTTAGTAGAGGGGATCTCCTGCCTGTCTGTATGCTGTTTGTGTGTGTATGTTTGTATAAGGGGTGCCCTCTGCTTGCCCCTGGGGTTTTGCTCGGAGTGTGGCCTCCCACCCACGCACTTCTGTCTGTCTGGAGATGACACAGCAGCAGTGTGGCCGCCTCCCCCTACAGCCTCCCATCCAACCACAGCCTCTCTCTCTCAACTCAAATATTCCCAGCTCAAAATTAACTAATTATAGTTTAACGCTCCTGTTCAACAGCTAGTCTAAGTACAGTGAGCTGCAAAAGGAATGAATCCCTGTGTACATCTGAAAGCATAGGTTTCTTAGAAGACAATCTGAAAGCATACGTTTCTTGAAAGACAATATGAATTTCATACATCTGAAAGCATAGGTTTCTTAGAAGACAATCTGAAAGCTGAAGTTTCATAGAAGACAATATGAATTTCATATTGTCTTCTAAGAAACGTATGCTTTCAGATGTACACAGGGATTTATTCCTTGTTCATTATGTCAGTGGGTCAGAGTAAGGCTGGCCAGCTTCTCATGGCTTAACAAATATGTATCATCCTTTAAAGCAGGGATGGGCAACTGGCAGCCCCCCTTTAGTAGGCCAGCGGATCAATTTCCAAAAACTAAACTCAGTCGGGGTCTCAACTTAATGTTGAGAGTTAGAATAGTAGACTACACAAGGTGCAATTTCCACATTGTGAATTTTTCTCTTGTTACGTAATTCACTGACAGTCACTTAATTAGCCTATGTCAGCTAACATGTTTAAGTTTGGCAAGTTGGTCTAGCCTGCTATATAAACTTGTAGTAATCATGGTTAGTCACTCTCACTCAGATATCATATTCAAAACGTATTCATTTTTGTCTCTGCTCCATTAAAAAAATTGTATAATTGCATGAAATTAGCTTTAAAATTGCTATATCTTCTCTCCGCCCTATGGCAAAATGTGTAGAATTGCAGCAAACTTTCTTTAAAACTGCAACATTTTCTCTACGCCCCATGGCAAAATGTGTACATTTCAGGAAATTAACTCTCTCCGATGTCATGAGACGGGCCACTAAAATGTTTGTTTTTTACTTAGTGCTGCACGTGTTGGTATAGATGTGGGTCCGCAGACCCGCGAGCCACTGCTGCCCCTCATGATGAGTTCAGATTTTTTGTGGCCCCCACCCCATCAAAGAACCCCATCCCTGAGTCAAAGTGATCATGAAATTATGATTACATGCCTTAAAAAGTATGGCGTTAAAGAGGAGAGAGTATTTGCCAAACCAACAGAAAATACTATTAAGTGAAACCTTCTATTTGTAACGACAGGAAAGTCCCCATTATTAGTAAACACTCAGCATTACACATATTGTACTAGTGGTAACAGATAAAATACATGATAATAATATAATAATAATATATAATAATATAATGATAAGAGGTTGACACATTATGGGTGTAAGCTCCACAACCCACGTCAAATCATTCCATTTTCATGTCTTCACATCCACTACAGAACTACCATCAAAAGGACAATGACAAAAACAACATTACACCACAATAACGAACACCACCACTACTACCCCTATTAAAAGGGCATGATTACAATAATGGGAGGCACCATGATTTATGATGTTCTTGTCTATACCGTCAGTAGAATAGCAAGAAACCACATCCCCAAATATGCCTGCTTTAAACTGGCTGTGAGACCACATACCACATACATAGAGCGGACTCTGGACTTCTGTAGCTGTGCCCATAGCCCAGAGTAAATGACATAATCACTGGGTTTTTAAAACACAGGCCTGAGAAAGTCTCCTACGCTTCCTCCTGCCGGCTAGCAGGCCGCCTGGGAGTAAGGGACTCTGTTGACTGACTGGGAACAACGCTCAACACACATAAATTGCGTTCAGAAAGTATTCATACCCCTTGACTTATTCCACATGTTGTTGTGTTACAGCCTGAATTCAAAATGGATTAAATATATTTTTCTCTCACCTATCTACACACAATACCCTATGACAAATTCTAAACATGTTTTTAGAAATGTTAGCAAATGTATTGAAAATGAAATACAGAAATACAGTATCTCATTTACATAAGTATTCACACCCCTGAGTCAATACATGGTAGAATCACCTTTGGCAGCGCTTACAGCTGTGAGTCTTTCTGGGTAAGAGCTTTGCACACCTGGATTGTATAATATTTGCCCATTATTATTTTCAAAATTCTTCAAGCTCTGTCAAATTGGTTGTTGATCATTGCTAGACAACCATTTACAAGTCTTGCCATAGATTTTCAAGTAGATTTAAGTTAAAACTGTAACTCGGCCACTCAGGAACATTCACTGTCTTCTTGGTAAGGAACTCCAGTGTAGATTTGACCTTGTGTTTTAGGTTATTGTCCTGCTGAAAGGTGAATTCATCTCCCAGTGTCTGGTGGAAAGCAGACTGAACCAGGTTTTCCTCTAGGATTTTGCCTGTGCTTAGCTCCATTCCATGTATTTTCTATCCTGAAAAACTCCCCAGTCCTTAACGATTACAAGCATACCCATAACACTATGCAGCCTCCACTATGCTTGAAAATATGGAGAGTGGTACTCAATAATGTGTTGAATTGGATTTGCCCCAAACATAACACTTTGCATTCAGGACAAAAAGTGAATTGCTTTGCCACATTTTTTGCAGTATTACTTCAGTGCCTTGTTGCAAACAGGATGCATGTTTTGGAATATTTTTATTCTGTACAGGCTTCCTTCTTTTCACTCTGTCAATTAGGTTAGTATTGTGGAGTAACTACAATGTTGTTGATCCATCCTCAGTTTTCTCCTATTCCAGCCATTAAACTCTGTAACTGTTTTAAAGTTACCATTGGCCTCATGGTGAAATCCCTGAGAGGTTTCCTTCCTCTCTGGCAACTGAGTTAGGAAGGACGCCTGTATCTTTGTAGAGACTGGGTCTATCGATACACCACCCAAAGTGTAATTAATAACTTCACCACGCTCAAAGGGATATTCAATGTATGCTTTTTAATATTTTTATCCATCTACAAATAGGCACCCTTTTTTGCTAGGCATTGAACAACCTCCCTGGTCTTTGTGGTTGAATCTGTGTTTGAGATTCCCTGCTCGACTGAGGGACCTTACAGATAATTGTATGTGTGGGTCCTTGCAGCTTATGATGTGACTTGTTAAGCAAATGTTTACTTCTGATTTAGGCTTGTCATAACAAAGGGGTGGAATACTTATTGACTCAAGACATTTCAACTTAAATTTTTTTATTAATTTGTAAAATGTTCTAACAAAAATATTCCACTTTGACATTATGGGGTATTGTGTGTAGGCCAGTGAAAAAAAAATCTCAAATTAATCAATTTTCAATTCAGGCTGTAACACAACAAAATGTGGAAAAGGTCAAGGGGTGGAAATACTTTCTGATGGCAGTATAGAACATTTGAAGAGTCACTAAATGATTGCTGTCTTTAAAAGTTGACTAGCACAAAATTGTGTAGCCGAAATCTTGCCTGAAGAAGACCACACCCCCTGGTAGAAAACTAAAACTAAAACTAAACTAAACAGCTAGCTTCCATCCTCCTCTGGGACTTCAATATAAAACCTAGGATGATCATGGTTCTCCCCCCCTTCCATAGACTTACACAGTAATTATGACAACTTCCGGAGGACATCCTCCAACCTATCAGAGCTCTTGCAGCAGGAACTGACAAGTTGTCCACCCAACCAAAGGATCAGAGAATGAATCTAGTACTGAAAGCATAAACTACAGCTAGCTAGCACTGTAGTGCATACAATTTGGTTAGTAGTTCACTCAAAGAGAGAGAAAGACAATAGTTGAACAGTTTTTAACAAATTAATTTATTCAAAATGAAGGAGGAGCAAGAGAGAGAGAGAGAGAGCGAGAGAGAGAGAGCGAGAGAGAGAGAGATGTAGCTATATTTCATCCTTTTCACTTTCACTTACTTAGCTAGCATTTGTTTAGCCATTGTTTATTTGTGGTTCTCACCTCTGCCCTTGTCTCCAAAGTGCTACTATTTGCATTGTGTGTCTGCTTCACACCTTCTATGTGAGTCACTGTACAGATAAAGTTTAGGCTTGGTGTTTTTACTTTACAGTGATATCGTTTTGTAAATGTAGTCAACTGTAATTCTGTGTGTTTTACAACAATATATCCCTTTATTTTATTCACCATAGAGTGGAGGATACAGAGGATTTGGATGATGACGTTTGAGAGCCACCCCTCCACAGCAAGAGCCCCCGCCGGTCAAGGTCTTCACCCCCCCACTGCTATGTCAATCACCCCGTCTGATGGTTCTACATCAGCCACTCAACAAAGGCCCCACTCCTCTTCAACCACCCCCACTGCAGTTTTAATCACCCCGTCTGATTGTTCGACATCCACTTTTCATAGATCTCTTGAAAAATAAAATAGGGGCTTGTGGCACCATTCGTCCTAACAGAATCGGTTTCCCCAAGACCAAGGTAAACGACATGACAAAGACCATATGAGGGGAGGGGGACCATATGTCTTCTGATCATTTCCTCATAATCTCCCAGATGTCTTCTATCCAAATATACCAAGTGTTTGCATGTCAGAATCATGTAATTACAAACGAATAGCAGTTACTTTTGGGTATGTCTATTTAGGCGGAAATCTAAATTTTGCCATTACATTTAAGAGGTTAAACGGAAGCAAACGGAAAGAAACAGGGATAAACATGCCTGAATTTGTCCAATAGAAACTCTAATTTGCAACTGTTGTACTAATGATATTATGATAATGAATGTGTCTGTCCATGTGTCACTGTCTGTCACCTCAAATCTTTCTCTCGACCTGTGTGCACCTACATTGTAAACTTTCATTCATAGGCTAGGTTGTAGCAACCTCTTGATGGGTAGAGGTAAAATTGGAGTATTATGTAGTAGCCTAATCCTATCGATGTTACATTGAACTGGGTGAATGGAATATGAATGACAGTCATCCAATATGCTGTAATAGAAATAAGGCCATGCTCATAAAAAAATTAATCATCCTCCCTCATTTTAAACAGCACAGACCGCCACTGTTAACCCATTTGACTACTCAGTCCACTTTCATTAATCCCGCCCACCCCCTATTTTAAAGCAGAATGATCTAGAACAATTTTGATTAAAATTAAATAATATCTAGGCAGATAATTTCTAACATTACATATCATTACCATTAATCTGTTATGAGACCATTATACTGCACTGTCTGTCTGATTATGTGTAATTGCCCAACCCATCACTCCAATCCCTGATTTCTCAATGGGCATGACATGTCATGGAGGTACACTACCAGTCAAACAGAAGATAGCCCTATTTGGTAAATGACCAAGTCCATATTATGGCTAGAACAGCTAAAATAAGCAAAGAGAAACGACAGTCCATCATTACTTTAAGACATGAAGGTCAGTCAATACGGAAAATGTAAAGAACTTTGAACGTTTCTTCAAGTGCAGTCGCAAAAACCATCAAGCGCTATGATGAAACTGGCTCTCATGAGGACCGCCACAGGAATGGAAGACCCATAGTTACCTCTGCTGCAGAGGATAAGTTCACTATAGTTACCAGCCTCAGAGATTGCAGCCCAAATAAATGCTTCACAGAGTTCAAGTAACAGACACATCTCAACATCAACTGTTCAGAGGGGACTGTGTGAATCAGGCCTTCATGGTCGAATTGCTGCAAAGAAACCACTACTAAAGGACACCAATAATAAGAAGAGACTTACTTGGGCAAAGAAACACGAGCAATGGACATTAGACCAGTGGAAATGTGTCCTTTGGTTCCAACCTCCGTGTCTTTGTGAGACGCGGTGTGGGTGAACGGATGATATCCACATGTGTAGTTCCTACCGTAAAGCATGGATGAGGAGGTGTTATGGTGTGGGGGTGCTTTGCTGGTGACACTGTCTGTGATTTATTTAGAATTCAAGGCACACTTAACCAGCATGGCTACCACAGCATTCTGCAGCGATACGCCATCCCATCTGGTTTGGGCTTAGTGGGACTATCATTTGTTTTTCAACAGGACAATGACCAAACACACCTCCAGGCTGTTTAAGGGCTATTTTACCAAGAAGGAGAGTGGCTTAATACATGATTCCATATGTGTTATTTCATAGTTTTGATGTCTTCACAATTATTCTACAACGTAGAAAATAGTAAAAAATAAAGAAAAACCCTTGAATGAGTAGGTGTGTCCAAACTTTTGACTGGTACTGTATGTGAGGTTGTTTACATGGCCCAGAGGTGGGCATGAACCAGTGTATCCTGGCGGCCCCCTGCGTCAGAACTATTTAATGTCTGTGGAGAGAGAGAGAGGGAGACAGAATGTTGGAATCAGCTCTCAGTGAGTGATGTCATGTAATCACCGTTCTAATCCCACTGTGATTGGGCCTACAGTATACCAGCAGACCAGGCAGGTAGAGAGAGGAGCGCTTACAGTGGACCCAGCAGAGCTGATATCAGATATCTGCCCAGGCCCGGCTGCAGTGCGGTGGCACACCCCTCAGGGGAGCTGTAGTGGCTGGGGTGTCTTAGGGCCCTCTCCCCCTGTCCTGGCAGCAGCACTGTTATTCTGTATTTACCCTGGCTAATGGCTGTGCAGCTCCAGAGGTCTGGCGGGGTGCAGTCACACAGTCTCACAGTGCTCACATTCCACTGGTCAGCGTTAAATAACTGCTCCCTTTCTCCCCCTCACTAAGCAAATGGGAGGGAAGCGTGTTAAAGATGGGGATGTTGTTTTGAGCTAGCTCCTATTTTTCCCTCAAATGCGAGACGGCCTCCTTCCCTGACACACACAATGTATTCCCTCATCACTTTCAAAAATTCCCTCTAATTAGTGTTTTGTTTTTGGAGCTTCAGCTGCCAAAAACAATTAGCCTCATATTACTTTTTTTCTCAACCTGCGCCAAAGTGTTGACTTGAATAGAGCCAGTGACAGGACGGGTATAGCCCTGAGAGGAGGAATCTAATTCCATGAGAAATCCCTGTTAAGAAATATAATAAATAAACATGTGACTTTGTGTCGATGTGACCTGAATGGTTATCACAGTAAAAGCCTGAACAGATATCAACAAACACTGGGATTGGACTGTAGATCGACATCACTTCTGACCTCAAATAACCTGAGATATTTTCCCTCCATACGAGAGTAGGCTAAATAAGAGAGAGACAACCCAACCATGCACCCATAAACAATAAAACACAGCCTTGAGGGAAGGCTGATGACATGGCACCAAACACACACACACACACCCTTAATGTGGAGTTCACAGAGGGTGAGGCTCATGAGGAGCAATGATTCAGATGACAGCCATCAGGCAGTCATCACACACACACAGTTGTAAAATGGCTGTGTGAATCCCCCTCTCTATGCCCCTGGGAGAGACTGACAGAGAAAGTGTGTGAGTGAAGCCCTGCTTAGCCTCACCTCTGTGCACAGCCAGGCCTGTGGCACACTGTGGAGTGGTGCAGGTTTCTGGGTTTCCCATGTTTACCACAGCACCCATAACTTGGCATCAGAGGAGGAAGTGAGTGAGTGTGGGGAAGAGTAGAGGGCTCTCAGAGAGAAAATAAAGTGTCTCTAAACAGGGACAGCTAGCCTTGGGCAGGTCCAGTTTGGCATTTTTTGCTGACTTCTCTTTGACCTTTCATTCTCCCATGGACCTCTGACCTATACCCAGGGAAAACCTAAATAAATCACTGCAATAAAACGTGGGACAGAAGCTGAGCCTTCAGAATTAAATGCATGATTAGTATTGAATTACCCATTAAAGTCATCTTTTGTGCATGACCACATTGGCCATTTCACATCCTCACATGACCTCGGTTCTGAGTCACGGACAGAGAGAAATGAACCAGATGTATTGTAGTAAGATGGAGGGAGAAGTCCATCAGGCACTGAATACAGGGGGATTGATATAGGACATTCTAGAGAGACAGAAGTCAGCTCAGCCTTAATAGTAAGGACGGGGATATTGTTTAGGTCCAGCACTACCCTGCATATTAAAGTTCTGGAGGAAACCGGTGTTTACGATACGGATAGATCTACAGAGATACTGAGCCAGAGTGACTGGGCCACAGGAGGCTGGCTCATAATAATGGCTGGAATGGAGCGAATGGAATGGCATCAAAGACATGGAAACCATGTGTTTGATTTGATACCATTCCACCGATTCCACTCCAGCCATTACCACAAGCCCTTCCTCCCCAATTAAGGTGCTACCAACCTCCTGTGGACTCGGCAGGTCTGGTTTAGGATACAGATAGATACAGAGGGAGCTGGGCAGGTCTGGTAGAGGATACAGAGGGAGAGTGACTGGGCTGAGCTGGGCAGGTCTGGTTGAGGATACAGAGGGAGAGTGACTGGGCTGAGCTGGGCAGGTCTGGTTAAGGATACAGAGGGAGAGTGACTGGGCTGAGCTGGGCAGGTCTGGTTGAGGATACAGAGGGAGAGTGACTGGGCTGAGCTGGGCAGGTCTGGTTAAAGATACAGAGGGAAAGTGACTGGGCTGAGCTGGGAAGGTCTGGTTGAGGATACAGAGGGAACGTGACTGGGCTGAGCTGGGCAGGTCTGGTTGAGGATACAGAGGGAACGTGACTGGGCGGAGAGAAGCAGAAGCAGGTCTAGTTGAGATGGAGAGCAGCTGCTGCCAGTCGGCTGAGGTTGATGGATGGTAGCAACCTTTGAGGAGAAGAAAGGTAGCGTCCAGCGTCGCTCGCCCAAACAGAGCTGTGTGCAGAAAAACCAAGGCTTAGAGCTACTGTAGGTAAATACTGAAGAAAGGGAGGGGGTGGGAGGAATGTCTATCAGTGACCTCACTGGATTCCCATTCCCAGTCTCTTTGGTCATACAGTGCTGCTTCACTCTGACCTGCACAACCCAGCTCAACCTCTATGACTGTGTGGAGGAGACATAACAAAGAACAATGCGAGCCTGATTCAAAGACCTACCGCCGACTGACTCTTTTAATCTATAGAACCTGCCGGAAACGAAACGTGTAAAAGTATGTCAACATACATAGCACATGCCATATCTGATATGATTATGGGATTTATCTCTGATAAGTAATTTGAGTATGACAAGAGAAAATGCAGAAAAATATACAAGCCTACGTTTATTTAGCTATTTCCTTACCTATTCTTTGGCAATACTGCCATTCCGAGTTTGGGAAACCCTGTTCTGGACTACAGAGTTCCTGCTTGCTGCTTTGAAGCAGTACAGTTTCACACTCTCTCTCTCCTTTATTAAATGGTTTCTGATTGCACAATATTTCAAAATGTAATTGTGGTAAAACACTATATTGAAAGCAACCAGTGTTGTTGCTGTTGAAGAGAAAAGAGTCCCAGTATTCTGGTCAAAATTGTGTTTAATATTGAACAAAGGACACTCACGTCGGCCATTCAAGGTGGGTGCAAAGGCCTATACGTTAAATGTACTGTTAGATATCAACTATTAGTAATATTAGGCTATATTTAGAGTTAGCGATCTAGCTAACCACTTCCTCAGGTGGTGAATTAGCCCCAAATGAATTAGCCTTTGTGATAATAAAATTCTGGAACCCTATTTTGATATTAAAATAATAACAACAATTACATAGTTGTCAAACCTCAAATTCATGACAATCACTGATTTAGGTTGCAAGTGAAAGTAATCCTAAAGTAATTAGATTACATTCTTCATTTTAAGTAATCTAAAGGATTACATTACTGTTGACTTAATTTTTCAGGTAACTGTAATCAGTAATGGATTACATTTTTCAAGTAATCCGCTCAACCCTGGTAACAGTAGCAGTAACTAATCCTTCTCTGACCCTGCTGGATTCCCCACACCACTGGAATTCCTTAACATTGTATATTAGGGGGCCTGTGCCATACACTTCTGACAGTAGCATAAGATAAATATTAAGAGAATGAGCACAGAATGAGCATGGAAAAGGGTCACTTATATAATTTCACTGTTGGAGTTGAGGTTGACTGATTGTGTCAATTCTCATTTACCAGTTTCTTTTGCATGAACCATGTCAGAATCTATTACAAATATTTAAAGTAACTATCCAGTGTTTCCATATTTCTATGAAATATTACCTATAATTCATAACAATAAAATGAAATCGTTTTTCTTCCATTTATAAAGAAATTAAAGCCCCTATGCCGTCTTTTTAAATCATCACTGTATGTCTAATAAATCACTGTGTGTGTATTGGGGTTTTTGAAGTGTTTTTTTTTTTTCTCCAATGTATGCTTTGGACACAAATATGAGTATAGGACGGGTCAACAACATTATTTGGGTATGAGTTAACAGAATATTAACTTTTAAAAGTGAGGTTTTCACTGGACAGTTACTTAAAATGAACTCTCAGAACCTAGGATGGAAATGTAATTACTGTAATATATAGTAATAGCTACATAATAGCTGTGAGGCCACCCTGGCAAAACCAGCCTAGTAGACTGAGGCTTAATAGACTTACCTGAAACTCACCCAGCCTTATTTATCCTTTTTCTCATAATGTTCTACAACAGCTTTAACAACATTGTTCTTTAAATAAAGGTAATCTTGAATCATTAGGCAGAAAATGACTGCATTTGGAAGCAAACTGCTTCACGGCAAGGTTCTGACAGGTCTGCTCAGTCTAGGCCTCAGTCTTGCTGTGGTGCTGACGTCACAGCCACTCAGATTTGGAAAAGTGTTCATATTGTTGTCATTGACCAGCGGCCATTTTAACATGCTAAAGAGAAAATTCCACATGTCCATTGAGTGCACAGTCCACACACACTTTTGGTCTGCCAAAAGCTAACACTGGCTTAGGTTGCACTCTGTAGCCCCAGCCAGACAAACCCACACAACTGGACAAAAGCCTGGTTAAATGCAGCTTACAGTACCCCGTACAATACTAGACACAGGCCCGACTGTAATCTAGTTTGATTCTCTAGACCAAATGTTCAGATTACACAAAATTGATAATCCTGTATTGTACTGTAATTACAACTGGAGTATAAATGCAGGGCCATTCTGATGTTGTTGTTTTTAATCAAAGTGTGAGCAATTCATTCACAGTGCAGAAAAATATAGTTTATTATGACAAAAACGCATTATATCATTTACAAATATGCTGTTGTTCTATAATGAAAGGCTGGTGGGAGAAAAAGCTTAGGAACTTCACAATTCACGACAATATTTTCCAAAACAAAATCTGTATGAAAACACCATGACAGGGTCAACTGAAATTACAGTCATTAGTTGTATAAGTAAAAAATATATATAAAATAAAAACATAGGAAAGATTTGTGTAAATGTGACTGAATCAGTGTCCTCATTTATTTTTACCAATGCAGTTTATTTTGGGGTCCTGTTCACATTCTAAAGCAAATCGTAGTCTGCCTTAATTGCGAGCTGGGGGGTAAATCACCCTAAAATAACCCTGGGCCCCACATTGATCAACACAGAAAGGGATACCCCCTCATCACAGAAAGGGACACCCCCTCATCACAGAAAGGGACACCCCCTCATCACGACTAATGAAAAAGCTGAGCAAATAATAACAGTGCTCTCTCAAAACAGAGGCAGTATATTTCTTGGGTCTGACCATTTCTGTGAGCATGTGTTCCATCAGAGTAGATAATTAAAATGTAAACTGGCAAGGGTGCTTTTAAAACCCAATACAGGTTAAACAAAATGTGGCTTGTTTTGTTTTTATTGTGACTGTAAGTAAGGTTCTTGGCAACTGCCCACACAACACCCCTGGCAAACTAGCTGGCAAATTTGAGTGCTTTCAGATGTCTTAGATGTCTTTAACTTCATAACAGTGATTATGGGTCATGAAGGTGTGTTCCATGTGTTAAGACTTTGTTTGGCACTATCATGATCATGGCAGGAGAGTGACGGCCATGAACAGACAGACAGACAGGCAGAGAGAGAGAGGCCACAAACCAACAGGTAAGATAGTGAGAAATGCCTCTCCAAGCCCATAAAGTTCATAGACTGATGATATGTCATAGTGTGAACTGTGAATCAATCTGAATGATCATATGCACTGAGTTTACAAAACATTATAAACACCTGCCCTTTCCATGACATAGACTGACTAGGTGAATACAGGTAAAAAGCTATGGTCCCTTATTGATGTCACTTGTTAAATCCACTTCAATCAGTGTAGATGAAGGGCAGGAGACAGATTAAAGAATACTTTTTAAGCCTTGAGACAATTGAGACATTCATTGTGTATGTGTGCCATTCAGAGGGTGAATGGACAAGACAAAAAATGTAAGTGCCTTTGAACGGGGTATGGTAGTAGGTGCCAGGCGCACCAGTTTGTGTCAAGAACTGCAATGCTGCTGGGTTTTTCAAGCTCAACAGTTTCCCGTGTGTATCAAGAATGGTCCACCACCCAAAAGACGCTAGTTAGCAATTGCGCTAGCGCTAGTTAGCAACTTCCTTCCAACTGCCGTTTAAGATGAGGGAGGACAATTTTTTTAAATGAGCATGGCCTTATTTCTATTACAGCATATTGGATGACTGTCATTCATATTCCATTCACACAGCTCAATGTAACATCGCTAGGTTTAGACTACTACCTGATACTTGATTTTTCCCTATACCCATCATGAGGTTGCTACAACCTAGCCTACAAATGTACAACGTAGGTGCACAGGTCGAGAGAAAAATTTGCGTAATCAAGGTGACAGACAGTGACACATTCGCCTTGCACACTCTTGCCTGCATCTAGCTGATCTAGGGTGTAATCATTAGTCCACTCCAAACAGTTGCAAAGGAGAGTTTCTATCAGACAAATTCAGGTATGTTTATCCTCGTTTCGTTTGCATCCATTTAAAAATGTTTTTTAACAGAATCGGCAGAATGAATACACCCCTGATCACCCGGCCGCAAACACAGTTCAGTTTCATAGCAGCCACATACAAACAGCATGATCACGTTGCTCATTGTATAATTCCTTCTCGCATCTACGTGCTCTCCTCCTCTCACCTTTTCCCTTCGCTTGTGGATTTCATTGCACAACACAACAGCTGTCTGTGACCAGGCGAAAAAACCTTTCCAAGCCAAATTTTCATACCATAACCGCTACACACAGCCTACATTGTTGTGTCACCATATTATCTAACGTCATAGTCAACATTGCTACTAGAACTAATGTGTTAGTAAACCCGCTACAATCATGCAGTACAGAGTACAGTAAGCACTTTAGCAGTTACAATGGTGGGCCCCCGGTAGAAATACATTAATAAAACCAAAAGCTTACCTTGACTTGGAAGACTTCCAGTGTTGGATAGCCATAGCCAGCTAGCTAACATAGCATCCCTCTCCGTTTGAGCCGTTTGTTTGAGTAGGCTAAACTACTAGCTGCATTTGCTAGCTAAGTAAGTGAAAGTGAAAAGAATATAACGAAATATAGATAGCTCTCGCTCTCTTGCTTTTCCTTCATTTTTTAAGAAATTAATTTGTTCAAAACTGTTCAACTATTAAGAACCATGAGCCTCCTAGGTTTTGCATTGAAGTCAATGTACCCAGAGGAGGAAGGAAACTAGCTGTCCTCCGGCTAAACCATGGTGCTACCCCAGAGAGTGCTGTTGAGGCTACTGCAAAATAGTGTGTTTTAATCAATTATTTGGTGACATTAATATATTTAGTATAGTTTTATCTAAAAAAGTTAACTCTTTTAATGTT